TGTGTGTGTGTGTGTGTGTGTGTGTGTGTGTGTGTGTGAGTGGAAAACACAGAAATTTTCCAAATTAGAGTATTTTCCAGGGTGCCGTGTGATGCCAATATTTGCATTCTATACAAATGTGCAGTTGACTGTGCTGGCTGTATGCATGCAGTGCGCCCACTTGATTTTTATTCATTCGGTGTGCTCTGCAGACATTTGCAAAATGACTCGAGCTGGAATCTGAAAGCACTTTATTTTCTCAAATATAAGTGAACGATGGTTTCATGTTACGCAGAGAAGTGGGGCATGTTTTTGGGTAGTTGAACCATTTTAGAAATCTACATTGCAGTGAAGTAGAAGCACAGTCTTAAAGTGAACATGATTTAATCCTCTTTGCTTTAATCTACGCACACTAACTGACATTTTTTTCTTCTCACTATCCCTTTCCACCTTCTCAGAGAGGCTCCAGCTACGGCTCCTTGATAACTGCCCATGGAAAATATCAGCTATTTGCAAAAACGGGCTATTTTAAGGTAAGGCTTAGCGAGTTCTGACATTTTCAACTCCTGCGCACTCCTTTCCCGCCCACACATGTGCACACTCGCAGAGAAAAACTGAAGAGAGGAGAGAGAAAGCGAGAGTGTGGGCGAATTTAGGTAGTTGGTTTTAATGTGAGCTGCAGAATGCGTCAATTTTCTTTCTCTCTCTCTTTCTCTCTGCCTTTGTGTGTGTGTGTGTGTGTGTGTGTGTGTCTTTGTTTTTACACTCCCGCCTGCAGTCTGGACAGGGCCATCAACTTGTTGCTGCTGTTAATTTGTCCGTTTCAGATTGAAGAGGTGTGAGAAAATGTGACAAAAAGAGGCTGCTGAATAACGAGATGGCGGGCTGTACTCTTTTTTAGCTGAATGATGCAGGGTTTTTATATAAATGCTGATGTCAGGATACAGATCGAGCATCTTGTTTATAATTAGGGTTATTGATACGCCTCTTGAAAGTCAGTACAGATCAAGGGTGATAAAATCTGTCACCAGAAACAGCCAATAATTGCTGGACAAAGAGAACCTTTCTATTCAGAATTCTTCAGGTCTTAACTGTGCATTTCATTTGAATAAAAGTTAAAACTCCCACACAAACTGCCGGTCTTGCTTCGTAGTTGCTACAGCAGCATTTTTCTCCAGTCTGTCACATCTGTGGCTCTGAGGATCATCACATTGGAAACAACAGACGCAAGTCTTCCTCTGCAGCACAGCTGCAATCGACCACACATGTACCTGTAGGCTACACTGCTGTTCTCTCTCTCTGTGCTTAATACTGATTCCTTTTAATTTCATGTTTTTTGTGTTGTTTTGTTTGTGCATCCATATATATTTTTTTTTTCTCATATGATGAAAGCTGGTGTGTAAATCTGGCTTCACCGCTCATCTTGTGTTGCACACAGGGGAACCTGGTGGCCATCAAGCACGTCAACAAGAAGAGGATAGAGCTGACAAGACAAGTTTTAATGGAGCTCAAGCATGTAAGTGTCCCAAAACGTATTCCTTTGAAGGAGATGCTTTATTATTGCGTGTCAAAGGGAATTACAGAAAGTGCAGCATGTGACTCTCAATTGTTGATTTTATATTTTTTAAAAAAAGAGACAAAAATGGAGAAGCCATCTGTGTGTCTGTTCTCTAATTATTGAGCACAGACTGCAAAGGCAATAATTAATAAACTGCAAAGAGAAAGGGGGATGCTTTCATGGGTTTCTAATTCCTTAATGAATAAAGTTTAAAATGCTTTTAATCACTCAGTAAGTAAGCATGGCAGTAACTGGATTGGCTTGGGGCAACACTTCTGACCTACTAAGCCTGTGTTGTACAAGTGTGACAGGATTACTACTGTTCACAATCTGTATCGCTGCACCTCTGTTTTCTTTCTAAAAAGTGACTTCTAATTGACTCGCACAATTTTATATTTCCTGGACTGGTTCTTTTTTCCCCATCTCATTTTATTTGTTTTCCAGCAAACATAAAATATGGAGAAAAAAAATCTAAAAATATGTTATATTATTATTAGTACAACCCATCTGGCCCAGTTTTACTTGTAAGTAACATCAGAATCTAGAGGGATGTTTCATTTGCCTTCTTTTATGTGGAGGGATCAATATTCTTTGCACTCAATTTAGTGTATGCATTCTTCATAAAAGGCTTATAAATGAAGGAACTTTATCACTCCGAGGAAGAAACTGAGAATCATTGCTGTACTTTTAAGGTTTTTGCTTTCATAGCTTTCTGAAAATAAAATAAAATAAAATAATTTAATACATTCAAAGATTCAAATGTTCTAACTTGATATTTATAAGTAAAACAGTAAATGATAAGATGGGCGTGTTGCTGCCAGACAGTGGACCCAGATGCAGGATTCGGCAGATGGAATTAAACAAAAATAAAAACAATAACAAAGCAGGACGTGGACAAACTGACTGCAGACAACAGACTGATGGAAGCTCACACACCATGAGGAATATGCAGACAATGTACACATAGGAGGAGATGAGGGCAGACTGGACACACCTGGGAACACAGCTGAACAGGGTCTAACTATTGAGATATTGGAGGCAAAACTGAACATAATGCACATGAGACGAGGGACTAAAGTAAATACAAAAAACAGGAAGTAACAATCACTGAAAACAGGACTAAGACACACAAATTTGACGTAGATAAGAAAATAAACAAACATGGAGACGTGATTGAATAAAATGGAAATTGAATTGAACTAATTTAACTATTGAACTAATTGAGTTCGGTGTAACAAGCCACGTTCTGAGTAAGGTTAGTTTTTCTCTGACGTTATGATGTATAAAATTCAGGTGCAAATTAAAAGCAATGAAATTTACTTCCTTTTGATTTCTTCACCGCTGTCTTTTAGCTTTCTTGGTTCAAGCTGAACTAAACAGCAAGGGAGTGAGCGAGCTTAGAGTTGCTAAGTAAAGGAAAGGAATGCACTGGATTGGGTATTGATGGGGTAGGCCTGACCTAAAGCACATCCCGCTTTATCCTTCTGTTTCACTCTAGCATCGACTGTAAATTATAAAAATGAACTTCATTATATTCATATATATTCATATTGACCCCAAAAGCTCATAAGGAAGGTGTTTACAAAGGTCATAGATCAAATGAAAAGTACGGTCTTTTCCTATTGACTTCTGTACAACTGGACTTCTTTTGAAAACAGAGAAGTCGCTCCCTGCTGGCTGACCACTAGACGAAATGCATTGCCTTCACTTTTCAGACTCTACCTCGATCCTTTATACACAGTCTGCGAGTGAAACAGATTCTCGTCACTCTTGAGTTTGTCTTCTTTCTTTAAAAGGGGAAAGCAAAGTTGTATTTTGAGGTAAAATGCATCTCTGAGTGCTTCCAGTTGCATCTGTTTGAAGAGAGCTTTATACTGAGTGAGACCTTGGAGGACAGAAAAAATACCCTTCATCTCAACTAGTTGTATTCAACAGGTAATTTATTTGCTCACCAAAATGAAGCAACTGTTTAGATGAAAGACCTTCATAATCTCCACCTGCTTTATGAAAGGAGTTTTTTTTAAAGTGGAACAATTTCAGCATGTTAGTTTTGGGTATTTTTCTCTGGCTCTGTAGCTTATCTTGTGAAAGATAGGTTTGTGTTAGTGTTTACAAAGACCCACTGCAGGATGTTACGGCAAAGGGTTCAGATCCTTTAAACATGTATTTGAGTGCAGCTGCTGATGGAAAAGGTCTCCTCGGCTGGGTGATGTTTACGAGTGAACGATAAGGAAGCTGGCTGAAGGGGGGAAAACAGAAAATCTTGCAATTTATGTGGTTTGGTGATGGAAACACTGTGTGGCAAAGGGAAACCCGTAACTCGGAAATTGCACCAGTGGTAATGAAAAGTTGTGGAGAAAACTTGTGGCCATTTTTTCTCTTTTCTCCAGCTCGGATTGTTTTGGTGCTTTTGGGCCTTTTTTCTGTTGCTGTCCTGCAGAGGAGAGGAGAGTTCAGGCTTCCTTGACGCCTCTGTGGCCTCTCGGTCAGTCGGCAGGCACATGGGGGAGTGAGGCTTCTGTCTGAGCTGGCAGCTTCTCAGACGCCCCGGGGGCCTGATCGACTGTCAAACCTCAGCTCGTATAAAAGCCGACCAGATGGGGAGAAGAGACAGGCCTGCCAGTGGAAACTTAACCACTTGTCTTCCAGTGCTCTCTCCTCCCCCCTCGCTTGTGTGCAGCGGGGGAAATTATATAGGCCAAAGGGTAGCCTAACATCCCCCGAGCCGTGAAACATGAGCAACTAACACCCTGGTTTTGGTGTGAGAGCTTCTGTCACTCACTGAGGATGAATTTTCAAAGTTTTGCACCAGCTGCAGAAAGATACGCTGTCTTTGTTAGCACTAGTAGCCGTTTGTGTTTCTAGAAAAGAAAATTACTGTTTTCTTCTTCCTTTTTATTTCCACTTCGCACATTCTCATAAAATGAAACGTTCCCGCTTAATCGCCACCAAAGGTTTCTGTTTTCATTCCTTTTTTCGAACATACAGAGTGATTCATGCTTTGGAAGACGCTTTGTGTCGTTAAAACCAGTGAGTGATTATTTTCCATGTAAAGCAGTTTTACACATTCAGCCTGTTCCAGTGTGATATTCCTGCTCGTACGTCCTCTCAACACCTCAACCTTATGTTATTTTTTTCATCGCCCTGAGCACACTGGCTCATTCATAACCTCCAAGGGCAATTTATGCACACGCACATGTTTCACCTGGGTGCCCCGAGCAGGAATGCGTCTCAACACGTAGGAACAGACACGGTGCCAGCTAGCCCACTGCAAATAGATTATTTTGATGAACTGCTGGCAGCGTTATTCTCAAAACTTTGTACATAAACGAGCCGTCAGTCCTCCCTCCTCCGTCCTCTGTTTCCATAGGGTTCGGGAATGTGATGTTGGAAAGAGTTGCACTCACAGTTGCTGTGTGTTTGTGTGTGGTTATTTTCAGATGAGAGACGTTCAGTTCAACCATCTGACTCGCTTCATCGGGGCCTGCATCGACCCTCCTAACGTCTGCATCGTAACGGAGTACTGTCCCCGAGGGAGCCTGCAGGTAACCATTTTCAACCCCTCTAAAGCTGAAGAGGGTCACAACAGGCTATTTTAACCTTCAAATTACATAATAATTACAACCTCAGATGAACAACACATGGCATATTACACTGTTATTATTTATTTCACAAAAACTAAGCCAAAATGAAGATAAGTATACAAAAAAAAATCATTAGTAGACTTTACGATTCATTAGCTTGTGGAACTACCTCTACCACCAGTAACTTGAAGTAATCTGTTCACATGTTGGACAAAGTAGACAGATGGTTCAAAAGAGGAGTAAAAGAGGCCATTTATGTCCACTGTGAGCGACCATCTTTGAACAGGTGGCTTATGACACCAACTGTCAGCCATCTATAATCCAGTTTTGAGATCCCTTCCCAGACGCCTTAACGCCTGCTCACATCCTGGGCCATCTGACCTCAGGATATCACTGGGGCTAGGTTTCACCTGAAACCTTGGCTGATTGTGACCTACACCCGTTTTCACACCTTGGCTCATGTGATTAGGTAGAGGATCATCAGGGGTCCTTTTGTCCCTCTCAGTGGGTTACTCCCACAGGGTTTAAATCAGGGAATCTCCACCATTTGACCCTAGAACTGAAGAAACTTCTCAGATGAGAGGTGAAACGTCTTCAAGCAACTTAAAGAAGTCCAGACGCTTTTCTTTCCAAGCTCCTTAGACTTTACTATTCAGAGCTCATGGCTGCAAGACAAGCCCAAATCATCACCGCTTATCTGTCCAACATTCATTGTTCAAGAAGTCTTGTAGTTTGTTCAGATGCACCTTTGCAAGCCTAAACTGTGCCATGTTCTCTTTAGAGCAAAGGGGCTTTCTCCTGGAAACCCTTCCAAACAAGTCATGCTTATTTAGTCTTTTTTTTAACTGTACTGTCATGAACGTTAACATTTAACATACTGAGGCCTCTAGATTTCACTCTTTGCAGTTTCTCTGGACACTGCACGGTCTGTCCTTGGGTTGAATTTGCTGGGATGTCCATTCCCGGGAAGACTGGCAGCTGTCTTGAATATTTTCCACTTGTGAATAATCTTTCCTACTGTAGTATGATGGACTTCAAATTGTTTGGAAATCGCCTTATAACCCTTCGTAGAATGATGGGCAGCAGCAACTGCTTCTCTAAAGCTGCTGCTGTCTTTCCTCTCTTGGTGCACACACCTGAATGCTCCAGACCAGGCCCTCATGTGTTACACAGAGCTTTCCACCACTATCACGAAGACCAGTCTGCTTTTTTACAGATGCTGATGATCAGTTAATCACATACATTTGATTAAAAGCATCTGGCTGCATCTTATCCTCTTAATTCCTATGAAAGCAGTTTAGTTCTGTGTTGTTGTTCATTTAAGGTTGTCTTGCGTCCTAGTACGCAAATCCCTAGAATCAAAAGACAGTGTAATTTATTTGTGTACTCGATTTGCCTAATTAACATACTTTTCATAATGTATATTTCAGTAATCTAAATGCAGCATTTTGAATTTTTCTGCACTAAACATTTGGCACATCTGTATAAGGCTAAACTAAAAATAGTCTTTTGAAAATTGTGAAATTTTTTGAACTTTGAAAGCTAATTTAAATAAAATATAAACACAAAGTATCATCATTTTTGTATTTGTTTGTTTGGTAAATTTTTAATTGATGAGGCATTGTTATTGTGAATTTGGATGTCCACAACACTGTGAGTCAACTGTTTTCAAAAAGCTCTTTATTGTAATACCTGTACTGATTTTTCGTAAATCTTGCCTCTAACATATCCCGCCCATACTAGAATAATTCAAAAACACTAAACCTAATACTAAAACTAATAAAAACTAAACTGAAACATGAAACTCACTCATGAAATTGGAACTAAACTGAATTAAAAACAAAAAGTCAAAATGAGATAAAAAAAAATACAAAACTAATTACCAGCTAATTACAAAACTGTAATAACTCTGCTTTTTTGTGATAATAATAGCCCTAACTCACAGCCTACACTTGAAAAACATGTGTCATTTGTGTTTTTACAGCTTTAGTAAAATGGTCAGAAGGTGAAATGGACAAACAACAGCTGAGACAGCAAATATCTGGTGTGTGTGTGCAGAGGTCCGCTCCACACACCCTTTGAATCAGGTTGTGTTGCCAGATTGCACTGACAGATAGACAGAAGCTGTATTTAGCGTGTGGCTCGTGTGTCTAGACTGCAGTTTATAGACAATCTGCGTTTGCAGACGCAAACCCAGCGGGCCCTCATGTGTTACACAGAGCTTTCCACCACTATCACGAAGACACCAAAGAAGGAAATGTCTTCTGGAATAGTGATGTTCATCCCTGCAGTAGGGTTCAAGAGACCTGGATAATCATGTGCCAAGGAGCACTGAAAGCTGTCAGGTGATATTTTACAGACTAAACAATTCATCCCATACAATTTAACAAGCAATGATAAAAATAACTGAACAGACGACCAGGACCTAAAAGTGTTTTCTAAAAGTTGATCGCCACAAAGATGAAAACCTTCTGAGATTTTTTATTTTTGTTTTTTTCACATGACAACAGACAGACAGACAATGAGGACTCAAACAACAAATCTAACAAAAGCCAGCTGGTGGATTTTTGTGTTGAAGTACTGTTAGATTAAGCTGTATTCCTGGCAGTGTTTGTGTCTGTTGAGCTCTGCAAGACCAACTTAAATCACCTTATTTAGTCTGCAGCAAGATTACAATACTTATCAAGCTAACCATTAAAAGTCCACACATTCTTTTGTCCTTCAATATTTGCGATTTGTCATTTTTGTTCCAGTAAGGAATACATGACGCTTTAAACAAACTTGATCTTGGCCCGAGATGCTGGCACGCCAGAAGCTTCCTTAAAACGGACGAGCTGGGAAATGACTTTTATCAGTCACACTTTAAAGAAAGTCGTCTGCGTAAAAGGCAGATATCTGTGACTGATGTGATACTGCTGGATGCTGAAACAGAGGCCAGGGAAGACAAACTGTCAGCTCTGGAATTGTTTCTGCATTTAGTCTTTAAATAAACTTTAAGAGCATCTTGGCTGCTGATTATGGACGACCAGATTTCAGTAAATATCAGTAAAAAACAAGAAAAAAGAAATTAGTGTTCCATGAAGTCATAGCAATAATAACTAAATGCGATAAATAATGAAATGCTACTTTCGGCTGCTACTTTGTCACAAGGCGCTGACACAGAGTAGCTCCACATGTTTTGAATTTTGGCAGAGTTTCACACCGGATGCCCTTCCTGATCCAACCCCAGAGGGATTGGACTCTTTGTCTGGAATCGAACCAGTTCAGTTGAATTCAGTTTTATTAATATAACGCCAAATCCCAGTTAACTCAAGGCACTTTATGTTGCAAGGTAAAGACCCTGCAGTGATACAGAGAAAGCAGAGAAAACCCCAACAATCAGACATTTTCCTATGATTAAGTTTTTTGGTGACAGTGGGAAGGAAAAACTCCCTTTTAAGAGGAAGAAACAGAACCAGGCTTGGGGAGGGGTTGCCATCTGGTGCAACTGGTTGGGGGGGGGGGGGTGAGACAAAGAAACCAAGACCTTTGGCTTACCATGTGATTGTGTGAACCACTGTGCTATGGAACCATTACATATAATAAATACATAAAAAATATAGCAATAAATAAATGTGACAAATAAGTAGACAATATGTAGAAAATTAGGGTAATTAATACAGATAAATACAAAACAGTAAAAAAAAATGAATAAAATAAGATGATTAAAGTAAATAATTAAAAATTAAAAATAATTAACAGATAGATGGGTTTGGGTAAAATGCAAATGAAAAGTAGATAAATAAATTAATCTCTCATAAATGAGAATAGGGATGAATACTTTTTTTTTTTAAATTCACAGTTTACACTCTTAAAGTAAAGCTAAAGGGTGACACATAAATGTTGATGTGTCTTTTTATTCAAAAAAGAAAAAAAACCATGAAATAAACATGCCCTGTACAGTTAAAAATAAACATGAGAAATTCAAAATGAAAATAAAATGGATTAATCAAAAAGCAAACACGGCAATGAACGAATAAAAATATCAATTTTTTATTTTATAAATATATAATTATTTTTGAATTTTACTTTTGGTGCATTCAGGGTCTGTTTTATTGGAATTTTTATTGGCTTTATGCTTTAAAGATGAAGTGTACACAGATTAAGGATTAATCAGGACATATATATATATATATACATATACACTGGGGCGTGATTAGGGATAAGACACAGATGCATGTAATCACAGGTGAAAACAATCAGACAACTAACCAACCAGAACACACCTACTAAGGCAGGAAAACTCGCACTTAACATGATACAGAGACACAGGAATACTATACGGTGAATTAAAACAGGAGCTAAAAACTCAGCAATATCATAATAGTCACTAAAACAATAATAAAATCAAAACCAGATTTAAAAAGCTCAAAAAATCCTAAAAGTCTAGAACCATAACTCAAACTTGGACTAGCTTTGGTTTACCTGTAATCTAATTTAGGCACAGATTAATTAATAACAACAATGACAAACACATGAGTGTTTCCAGACATACTTTAGCAACAATGATAGAAAAAGAAATGTCTTTGTGGAGCATTTTGTACTTTTGTCTGAAAATTATAGATTTGCATGCTTGATTGGTAGGTTCTCACCTCAAGACAGACAGAAGATTATATATAAGGCATTTCTTATGTCTGCAAAGGTTTTTGAGTTGTTCTTCCTTTTTATTCTTTCTTTATTTTAAGGACATTTTAGAGAATGAGAGCATCAACCTGGACTGGATGTTCCGCTACTCTCTGATCAATGACATCGTGAAGGTACGTCGCTGTCAGACTGGGTCAACAGGCATTGATTTAAAAAGTCACACATGTTTTTGAAAGATTGTCCCTTTTTCTTAGTGTTGAAAAAAGAGGCTTTGTGCACTTTGGAGATGCACACAGAAAATGTCTGGGTTACCATGGTTTCTCATGGGCAGTTTCTCAGAGTCTAGACGGAGAGAGGGAGAGAGAAATGTGCAGAAAAATGTATTTTTGGCACAGTGCACGAAACTGGAGTAAATATTTCCATCCTATAATGTAAAGCAGGAGAGAAACTCTGCAGAAGTTTTCCTTCCAGCTTAATCAAAACTAATCATGGACATGATTTAGAGGACTCCTTTTTAATCTGTCCCAACAAAGAGGCTTTTTGTCAGAGCGATACCGAACGACTTGCATGATGAAGCCCTTCGGCTAAATTGCTCGACGCAGATAGCATCGTTTTGCAGGAGAAGAGGCGCTGGTGAAGCTCTGAGGCATGATTGACTCACCGTTTCCACAAAGTATTGAACATGAGTACTTCAGTATCCACCGTGCCTTTCTGTTTAACAGTAATTTCACAGAAATAACCCCCATGAAAGCGCCTGTCCTTGAGAAATGTTCTCCTCAGCATATGATTGTCTGTCAGATCATATTATTTCCACATGTCTGAACATAAGATTTACTGTAAACATGGGGAAAGTAGCAGAAACAGACAGAAAACACCCTGTAATGCTTTACTTGCACTTCTCTGCACCAGGGTATGAACTATCTGCACAACAGCTACTTTGGCTGCCATGGAAATCTGAAGTCATCTAATTGCGTAGTGGACAGTCGATTCGTTTTGAAAATAACAGATTTCGGCTTGGTCAGCTTCCGCACGTCCAGTGAAAATGACGACTCGCACTCACTCTATGCAAGTAAGTTAATGCAGCAATGATTATCCAGTCACATTGTTAAGAAGAAGAACATCAACTTTCTGCTAAAAGTTTGGGTTGTTCTGTTGTTATCTAGAGAAGCTCTGGACGGCTCCTGAGCTGCTCATATATGACCGCCATCCTCCTCAGGGGACTCAGAAGGGTGATGTGTACAGTTTTGGCATAATACTGCAGGAAATAGCTCTGAGGAATGGACCTTTCTATGTGGAGGGCATGGACCTCAGCCCCAAAGGTAAACACAACAGTTTTTTTTAATGGGCCTTAAACAGGTCAGCTGACCCCTGCAGAAACAAATGTCCAGTAAACTAAAACATTTGTTCTTGTAGTTTAATTCAGCTCATTTTCTTTGAGAAAGATTAAAAAATAAAAATAAAATACATTTGAAATGTCTTTGAAAGGTCAGAGCACCCTTTCGTGCAGCCATGTACACAAAGAACATGTGCTGACCAGATGTCAAGGCAGAAAAAACCCCACAATGTGATGTTAAATCAGTCCAAGATATGAAAAAAATAGTCCACTGTAAATGAAGATGCGATCCAGAGATCGTGCAGAAGTGGAAACTGAAGGCAACGGTCATGTGTGTTATGTCTCGAAGCAGCTTTAGCTGTGATACATCTTCCTTAAGTCAACAGTATGCAACGGCTTGATTTTCAGAGTTTACTTTATTATTATTGTGTCATTATTAAAATAATATGCCCAACCCTTACAGGGTAGCACCACTAACAGATAACCAGAGCCACAAGTATAAACAAATAAAGCATAATAAACAGTAAAATGTATGAAGAAACACAGTGCTACATCCAAAAGCCCATCTGTTCAATATTAATTATTGCAGCGCAGATATTGTGCTCTAATATCGTTAATTATGATTGTCGGTGTTTTTTCAGCCAAAAGGTGTTTTAGCGTCACGGTTCTAACAGATCTTTGTGCCAGACTTGGCTGGTTTAGAAGCACCTGCTTCTGAAAGCTGCCATCATCAACACCGAGACCAGAGAGAGAGGATTTGGTTAACTGGGTCGCAAACAGTGTCCAAAGATCCCTAAAACATCCCTGTTTGTCAGTGGTCTGAATGTCTGCTGTATTCAGAATGTCTCTGAATCACTTTTTAGATTTCTTAGCCACGATGTAAAACATCACAGCTTAGTGATAAGGATAGAACATTATGCACTCCACACTGTATATAAATGCCACTTGTTTTGCACATATTCAACTCTGTATATTTTATATATTTTATTATTATTATTATTATTATT